AAATGCTAACTCTTATTATAAAATCCTTTAATAATTCAAGGATTATAGGACAACTCAAAAGGATTGCAGCAACGATCAAACATTTCATTAGTAATTAAACTGAAATTTAAAGGGAATCGACTTTAAAAGTCCCACTAAATAATAATATTACTGATTATATAAGTTTCCTTTCACTGAAATTCGAAGCAAATAATAAATATATACAAACATCCCATCCGTCATTACATCAATATCTAATTTGAGTGAATGTTTGTGATGGCGGCCGAGCAGCGACCCGACGTAACCTTGGCGGATAGACTGGTATCTGGGCCGTACATGTACAAAGTCCATTTTTTTGGTTGTTTACTTACTCGTACGAGTTTTTAATGCCGATGTTTTTATTCTAGTGATATAAAATATTAGATGTTACCTATCAAGTACTGTTTTTTTATTCCGGAGCCTGTACTTTTTAAATGCGTCATGAATTTACTACTTATGAATAATTGTTGAAAATGCTCTTCTAAACGAGTTTGAGGTATCTATTTATAGACTAGTATAATCAAGGATTTATGAACATTATAATTAGCTATAAGATGATAATTGGAACGTCAGTTTATGAGACAGGATACCTCTTGCTTTACTGAAACTTATATAATTTTAAAAATTACACTCAGTCAGTATCCGATTGGCATTTTATTTCTAACGGCAAAGTCAGATCAACACGAATGAATTGTAAATGGGAATCAGTGTTAGGCTGAAACTAAATGTAGAACTAGACCATTGTCCGAACTTATAGCGCGATAGTAGCTAGTATCACACGTGAAATGCACAAATTACTTAAAGGTACAACATCTTCGTAGAATGTACTGCTAATGGTTTGTGCGTGTCAAAAGTAATGCTTTTTTCATCAATCAAAAACGAGGGAACGACTGAACTTATTATTAATATATGTATAGAATATTCTACAGCTTTAACCTATCCCGTTAATAAAACCTGTTATTTCCTCTGATTTAGTACATATTTAATAACATCGTTAGATAGTTAATCTGGTAATTGATTGATTCTATACGAAGAATAACATTAAATGCGTCATAAAAGTCGTTAGATAGGAAAGTACGTATAAAGTAGGTATCTAGCGTAGTGCGTATTCCGAGTTGTTTGGGAGCGTCCCTAGCCGCGTGCCGGATCGATAGTGCGGTGTTGCCGCTCCGTGCAGGTTGCCACCGCGCGTTGCCGTCCCGCGCGGCCATGTTTATTTTTACCTTTTGTTGCCAATCAATTATTGAAGGGAATAATGACACCTGCGGACGGCACTACACTATCGCCCCATTACATTTTTGCCGGCGTTAGACGCGTTTTTCTTGCATTTATTACTATTACATATCTATTTTTACCATTAGAAATAACGCAGCTAAAAAGTGTCTTGTTTAACTTTCTGTTGATGTTCTACTGAACGGAAAGTTCGATTTGAAATGTTTTCGCGATGAAACTTCCTTCGGTTTGGTCGCTTTTACTTCGCCATTCGAAAGGTATATCAATTCAAACATAAAAGTACATACAAACAGCGCCTTTATGATTCCTAAGAGCAATAACTTATTTATCTAAACGAAGGGAAGCTAGGTAACTACGTATACGTACATTCTTTTGCTTTCTGTTGTTTAGTAGAATAATAAACTACCTACATTTTGGACAGTTTACGATTTTTAATATGTTCGAGTCCTAGATCGTCGTAATAATTACTTAGTTGGTAATATGTGAAGTGTGAACGTAACGTACTAAAGCAGAAAATACTAGAAAGTATGTAGGTTTTAAATAAGAAGAGCCGAGAGATTAATGTGGAAACTAGAAAATCATTAAATAACAAATCAACAAATAAAACAATATTATAAATACGTCTTTTTATTAAGAAGCGTATCAAGCACCGTTATTTAAAGATTGAATTTTCAAGTGCTTTCTTCATTACTGCTTATTGCGTTCACAAACAGAACGTAAACAAGTCTGGCAAAGGACAGCGCAGGCAACATTGAAAATAGTGAATGGATTGTTGTATGATTAGCAATTTATTAAAAACACTATAATATTTAGTGGCGAGAACTAGTGTTTACCTAGGCCATTCAATTATGATCGAGTTATGTTAGGTATTTTAAGTTTATGCAGGAAACTTATTGAATATGTAAAATAGGACTTGCTTATATTTACTTGGTAAAATTCTTGATATCCAATATAAGTTTGCTAGTTAAAGAATTACAAATTAAAACTTTATATTTTTATATTTCGTGTGTTTGCATATAGATGACGTGTAGCGCCATCTGTTATTAAATAGAAAAAACTAGGAATATTCTTTTTCTGCAACTATATTAAAGCATCAAGATTCATGTCGACTAAAATAATTATGTAACAAAAGTACACATAAAGCTTAAAAGTATGTTATATGTTTTTAAAGTAAATCGTTAAATGATATTTTCTTTTCTACGTTATGAACAAACATAATAAAAAAAAATTGTGGTTTTGTATGATATGTTTTTAATTCTACTTATAGGATTGCGTAATTGCTGCGTCATGAAAGGACTGGAACGATCACCAGATGTCGTGTGACTTCTGTGATGAGGTGCATTTCTTCCTTTATTTTATAACAACTACTAGAAATGCTCGTTTTACTTCAAATTTGTTTATGCCACAAAATTATCAGCTTATCACTGAATTGTCAATTAAATATTGGGATCAAACACTTCACATTGCATCAAATTTAGTAAAATTGAAAATATAGCCGGTAAAACGCGTAAAGTGGCTGGCTTTATCTGTAACTGATCGTTACAGATACTACCTACCTTATAAAAAAACAAAGAAAATATATTTTAAATCTTACTTCTTTCTATCTTACTAATATTTTAAATGTGAATGTTTAGATATTTGTTATAGTTTATAGCCAAAACAAGTGAACGGATCTCTATGAAATTTGGCATAGATATAGAAGATAGTCTAGAAGAAAACATATAGGTTATTTGTTTTTTTAAATCTCATTATAATAATTACATAAATGATATTAGCGTAAACTAACAATCTAATTAAAAATTAACATCCAAAAATAATGTTTTGGTTAATTTATGCAACGATTTCAATAATTTTTTTCTAACCTAAAACCAAGATCAGTTACCCAAGCATTACATTGCTCTAGTGTAGAACATGATATTTGTCTAGTCTTAGTTCATGGGAATAACAAGGTATTCAATAAATTGTAATATTTTATTAAAGTTTAATTAACAATAATGTTTAACAATAATAATTATTTATAATTACATAATTTATTGGTTTACTAGTAACATGCTAAATTTACGATATACAATTTGACGTTGATATATTAATAATACTTAAAAGTAATTTAAACTTAATTTAAGACTAGTCGTATCCGTAATTTTAATATTTCATATTTTGAATTAACGTTGACTCTTTTGTATTTAGTGTTTTAAAGTTACTCTGAGACATTAACGTATTAGAATAGCAAGAGTTTTAAAAGTAAAATATATGTGAAATAGGTGGAGAATAATTATTTCAATATAACATTTTGCAACATTAAATGTTATCTAGTACATTTGAACGATAAGGAGCAATTACAACTAAAAACAATTGTTATTTATTATGCGTATAAAGTGTCATTCAACGTGTAGCCGTGGTATTTAATCTGTTATTCTGAGGCCTGTGTATGTAGGTTGCGGGGTGGTCGTGCGGGGGGCGCTGCAGGCGGCCGGGGGGTGGCGGCGGCGGCGCGGGGGGCCGCCTCGCCTCCACCTGGATCTTTTGCGGGTGAACCACAATATCCTGACGTGGGGGCATCGCTGGAATGGCGCGAAGTGTTGCGGTCACTTTGACAGTTTTAAAAAGAAAATGCACAACGTACAGCCACAACACAATGGCGTTCTATACATTTAAGAAATACAATTTCGAAATCGATTTTGTTGTAATAACATTTTATGTTTCTAGAGTAGAACGACTGCAATAAGTATTCTAATTATAAAAAGTAGTGTTAACTCCACATGTATGGTATGAAATATTAAACAAGCTTCTTTTAATAAACATTTGAAACCAATTTCGAAAAACATAGATAAAAATATCAGTTTCCTGCCTATGTTTTTATGACTATCATTAAATAATTACATTTGATGTAAACGTAAGTATAATTTATAAATCGCTGACCATAACTTACCGCCAAACAATTTGTTTATATTTACTTATGCACAGATCTGATTATTTTTTCACTTAATATCAACTAAGAATTTAATAAAGCGTAGATTTGCAACCGCGTATGAAAATATAACACATGTTTTTACTCTTAGATCTCAGCTATCGTTGTCGATAAGATATCTTTATCAGTTAGATAATGTTGTTGTGCTGTTCATATTTTCATACATGTACCAAGGATACCTTTGTTGTTTTACAATGTTTCTATATAAATTAGTTTAACTGCCTCTGGTCTATAGTAGCTTCATTAAGTTATAAATGTTGTGATTATATAGCTCCTACTTTGTTTTTCCATTAGGGAATAAAACCAAATTAAAGCTATATTTATTGGCTATTAAGACGCAACCTTAGCATGGATAAATTTTAATTTAATTGATCACATATTGATTGTACTCGTAGTTATACATAGATGAACAACAAATAGGATCGCTTTAACGAGTCTTAGCATTTTTTTAACGACTGAACGACTAAGTTTTTTGTGTCTCAAGTGTTGATAGTAACTAGCAATCACGACGAATAACTAAAGCATGTTGGCCTTTTAAGCTATTATAGGTCATAAGACATTAATAGAGCGCTAAAACTCAAATCTCCTTTTTCGGCACTAAACATGTAATAGCTTACTAAAAAAATACAGCAGGTGTCTTTACCAAAGAAAAAAAATAATAATTAAAAACGCCAAGGTTAGGATTACTTGATTTTTTCAATTTCTATAGGTTGTAAGCGTTAGCCTTTCCAAAAAAAATGTATCTGTCATTGTCAGAAGCGTCAACTGTCAAACTGTCAGTGTCACCAAAGTGTCACAAGCAAAAATATTCCGCATGTCACATTCTGATTTCTTATTCATGTTTAAATTTTTCTTCTGGATGAATCCCCATGGTTCTAGAAGTTGCACGATCGATAAATCGATGAATAAAATTGATTACTTATTCATGTGAAAATTTAAATTAGGGCTCGGGGTTTCAGTGCGAGTGTCTTGTTGTGTTCATGCAGTAGTGTGGATTAGACGTGTTTTATTTTCAATTATTGGTGTTGAAAAATTATAAGATAATGGCTAACAATTCGGGGAACCCGGTGGCAGGAGCTCTGACTTATCCAGACATGAGTGATGACAATGAAGATCAACCTCCCCCAATTCAGCCTCGGCAGCCGAATAACTTGCAGGTACGGTTCACATAGACTTAATTTTTTTTTAAATGACTTGAGGGTAATTTTCCAGTGTTTTTATGTATGTAAATTGGTGATATTGAAGTCACTTTGTGAAGGCCTGTAGCCTATTAATTGCAGTTTGTGATTTTGATGACTGACATCAATCAATATATGTTTTTCAATTCTGTTGTTTCTTTGTTACTATAAATATGATATATTAACCTGTTCAATATGTGTGTGTTGCAAATAACTTGTAAATCTTTCTAGGGTCTCCTACGCTTTGCCATGGAGGCTACAAAAGGCGAAGATGCTCCCGGCGCATCTGAATTCCATCCCATAGATTTTGAGGTACACAACTAATGATTGTTTTTCTGTTTTCATATATGATCTAGAATCATCAATATATTTGAAAGTGATATAATCTGCATTTCAAAAGAATTCTTCAGATTGCAATATATATCATAAGTATTTTAGCAGTGGAAACTTAAATTATATGTTGCACAACTTTACACTATTTAAATTCTCTTTAAAATTGGAAATTGGAAAATTTCAGAGAAGGACATTTTTGGAGGATGCTTTGAGAAGCCTGACAGTAGATGTAGCGAAGGTACTAGTGGATGCTGTCAAAGTTCTGTCAGATGCTGAGAAGATGAACAGCATCCAGCTTGGTCAAGAACTTCCAGATGATGTTGCTGCAGCTTTCTTCAACATTCAGGAGTTTATTAGTGATATTGATGTGGCTAATGGTTAGTAGTAACTTTTAATTAGTGTGTTTGTGTTAATTACATTAAAGAAAAAAGTAGCCATAAATATAGTTATTTATCTATACTTTATTATAAAGAAGTAAGATTTGTATTTTTGTATGTATTGAAATAACTCAAAAACTACTAGACCGATTTCGAAATTTCATTCTCCATTAAAAAGCCATGTTATAAGTGTTACATAGGCTATATTTTCTATTATTATTTTGCGAGCTACAGCTAGAAAGAAATTAAGTATAAAGTAGAAATCAATATATTTTATATTATACACAATTAAAAAGACCACTGCGAAAATGTTACTAAAGCTATCTATTTCTGCTTTAATACAGATTTCCACAAGATCGGAGGGTTCTCAATATTTCCCATCTGCTTGGGGAGCGAGAATGCTCGAGTCCGAGTGGAGGCAGCAACTATCTTGGCGGAGACTTGCCAGAACAACCCGTATGGGCAGGCTCGTGCGCTGGACGCCGGCCTGCTACAAGTGCTGCTGCAGCTCGCAAATACTGAGGAAGGAAACTTCCTTGTTACATGTTTATATGCTATCTCTAGTAAGTTTTTTATTAATACTTCTAATGTTGGTTACATGAATGTACTTTTACCTACAACTGCCTGGGATTTAAAAAACAAAAGTAGATTATGTTCTAATAATGACAAATATTGATGTCCAAGTAAATTTTAACCTTGTCAAATCAAGGTCAGGTGTGATCTTTGTGTCCCGTAAAATTAAAATATTGTTTTATGCAATGTCTCGTTTGATTGCATCATGTATTGTGATTCTTATATAAGTGTTGCCAATTATATTGAGAATAATTTATTTTTTATGAAATAAGTGATTATTAGAATACAGTGCTGGCATTTGGTTTAGACATACTAATATTATATATGCGAAAGTTTTGTTTGTTATTACGTATTTTCAAAATGGATTTCGATGAAAGTTGGGACAGTAGAATATAGTCTGGAAGAACATATGGGCAAATTACTATATTTTATTTATCTCTGGAGTTTCAGGCAATTATGTTCAATTATTTATTTAATTACTAGCTTTCGCCCGTGACTCCGTCCGCGTGGGATTAAATAAAACAACAATGATTAGTTTATGTGTTCTTCCACACTATCTTCTACATCTATAAAGAATTTCATCAAGATCCGTTCAGTCGTTTAGAGTACAAACTCTAACAAACATCCATCCATCCATCTATCCATCCATCCATCCATCCATCCATCCATCCATCCATCCATCCATCCATCCATCCATCCATCCATCCATCCAAACTTTCACATTTATATTAATATGATTTGTGTCAGGCGTGTGCCGCGGCCACGGGCCCGCGTGCGACGAGCTGTTCTCCAGCGGCGGCGGCGCGCTGCTGTCGGAGCTGGTGCGCAACCCCAACATCCGCGTGCGCACGAAGGCCGCCTTCCTCATCTCCTTCCTCGTCATCAACCATGCCCCCGCTAAAGGTTACACTAATTTTCAATTCAAACTAGTCGAGTGTCACTAATTTTAGTAATTGCTATTGTTAGATATATCTAAAATCCGCTTAAATTTCTGCACGAATTTTATTAAAGAAATGTAATAGTTTTTTTTAATTAAAATGTCTAAATGATAAAATTTCTAGCAATGTTTAAGTTTGCGTCATTTCCGTTACATGAGCGAGACGACAGATATATTTTGTAATATGAGTAAAAGAGATAGACATCTATCATTTCCCTATTCTGAGATTTATTTTATAAATATGTCCACTTAGCTAATTTATTTTTTTTCTTTTTAAATTACAGAGATCTTTTTGGAGAACAACGTTATTGGTAACATAGCGACGTCGCTCGACAGGGGATTGGACGGCAGCACGTCCTGTACCCTGCACGCGCTGCACGCTATACTGAATGGGGAAGAAATACCCCCTCAAGTGCGCGACCCGAACATCAAACTGAAGAAGGTTCTAGAAAAAATGGAAAATACTAAAGAGATACAATATGCCGAATACACGGATGAAAGGAAAGTCTTGAAAAATATTATGAAAATTTTAAGGGATGTTCCAGAAATTGAAGTTCCCAACGATGAGGAGGCAGATAGATAAATAGGGTGCATGGATGGATGCCTAATGGATGGATGGATTGAATGGAACGGAACGGTTGAATGAAACTGGAGTGTTCGGAGAAATTTCGTAATAAAATGTATGACTGGATGTATTTTGCAGCGAATTTGTTCCATGTGTAAATGATTCTTTACATTGATATTAATGTAAGCATTTTTGACAACAAAATAAAACTTTCTTTATATTTTAATTTTGTGTGTTTTATTTTGTTAAACTAAACAAGCCCTAAATACTATAAAGAATTATCAAAATGCGACATTAATTAAAATATACCTTTATAAATAAACCATAGACAATAATTTTTGTTTCTATTTAATTCCACTATACCATTATGATAATTTCTGTCGATAATTCATAGTTAACTAGCTTTCGCCCACAACTCCGTCCGCTTGGAATTAAAATACAAAAATAAAACAAGTATCCTATCCATCTTCTACATCTACGACAAATTTCATCGAGATTAGTTTAGCAGTTTAGGTTACTAACAAACATACACACTTTCGCATTTATAACATTAGTAATATCAGTATTAACATATTTTTTGTTGGGTTAGGTTAGTATTAAAGTATTTTTTTTTATAATATGAGGTGGCAAACGAGCAAGCGGAAACCTGAATCCACCGAAATGGAAAGCGACCGCTGCCCATAAACATCCGCTATTGTAGATGCGTTGCCTACCCTAATTGACGGAGGAGGAGACGCACATAAAGAGGACATTTCCCCTTCCTATGCATCTCCTTCACCGTCCAATCCACTTTTTCCTCTCATCTTTTCCTCTTAAGAAAAGGGTGGAAAGGAAAAGGGACTTACTTACTTAGGCCTCCGGCACCACACTCATCAGACGAAACGCGGAGTTGCTTCCACTTCACGCCTGTTTTCTGTGTGGTCGTGGTATTTCACCGGGCGAGCCGGCCAATTCGTGCGAAGATGTTAAAGCGGGCTCTACCACTTTTAATTTGATATATTAAAAAAAAGAAACACTTAAAAGTGCAATAATATTTTTATTCAATAAAGTTTACTCTACTCTCATCTACTTGGGGAGAGCTCTGCTCAGGCACCAAATCTCCGTTCTTCCAATCGAAGGAGATACCGGTCACCTGTTCATACCAGGAGTGGTAGTACCCAGCGCGAACGAAACCTGGAACAAATGTGAAGTTTATAATGTTACTTGTGGCACAATTATTTCTATGCATAACTATATCGGATACTTTCATAGTAAAGACTTCTTACCTGAAGGGTAAGCGCTAAGGCAGCCCAAGTAGTGTCCGAAGCTGACTACTCCCACCAGCGTCGGCTTACCGTCGACGTCCACCGCGGTCAAAGGACCACCACTGTCGCCCTGCAACACACACTTTCTCGTTTTAAAAAGTATTAACATTTGTAATTAATTCCTTTTTTATTAAATCACCAGCTTTCGCCCGCGACACCGTTTGCGCGAAATTAAAAAAAAATGCAAGTAGCTTATGTGTTATTTCAGACTATCCTCTACATCTATGCCAAATTTTATCGAAATCCGTTCAGTCGTTTAAGCTACAAACTCTAACAAACATCCAACCATCAATCTAAACTTTCGCATTTAATATTAGTATGATAAACTCAATTATGTACTCCTTGGGACACGAATTTAATGACAGCTCACTTTACGTTAAAATTATTTAAATATATAGAAATATTTACATCCGTAAATAGTACAAAAATGGTCTGCCTTATATTGTCCAACATGGTTGGTCATTCTTTGGTCTCTGTCATATTATTACGTATGTGACAGTTACCCCACAAGAAGACTGATCAGTGTGATTGTATCCGATAGTGCAGATATTCTGAGGAGAGATCTCGCCTGGGTACCAGCTGTCGCAGACTTCATTGCTGACGCCGTACTGGTACACCCAACGCAACACTTCTGACGTCGAACCACCTGCAGACCGTAATTTATTAAATACTTTTTGAATTAAATGACGTGAACTCTTCAATCAAAACTTAACAACTTTACTAGAAGCGTAAACTCGAAGCGTAAGCACTGAATGGATAATTTTACTAAAAAAAAATTACCTTCAGTCAATCCATAACCGCTGACGATAAGTTTTACGTCAGTGTAGTCAAAATCTTTCATTTCAGTATTCTGCAGCCTGCATGGCTGGATGTTCTCTGCCGAATTAAATTAGAAGTCGTTAATTTTAAAGTAGAGAGTAAGAAATTTGCATTATACATGAATTGTGTTTAGATACCAAATTTAAATGTAATGTAGACTTCCGTACTCACTTCCGTATGGAATGGGTCTCTCAAGTCCGAGTAATCCGATGTCGTCAGGCTGAACTTCGAAGTTCCTTTCATCGTAATCTGGGTGGAGGAACTTGCGTGTCGACTCCACGATATACTCGGGCCGGGTGACATTGACCAATCCCAGGCGGACCACGAACGAATTGCGACTGTATTAAATCAAACCAAAACTCATCAATCATTATTCAAATAAAAAGTACATGAAGTGAGTGTGTGTAAGTGTCCATATAGTTCTAATCTAAGAACCTACCTGACTAACTTTTGGCACTAAAGATGTAGATATACATTACACATTGCTAGAGGAAATAGACCAAAACGGCTTGTTATCCAAGCCAAATAGAATAAATACAAAAAATACGATACGATGATAACATGATCAGGTTGATAGGAATCTGTCAGATGTAGGCGTTTATTTATTTCAAAAGACCTTCTTTGACGACATTTTCTAACAGATAGTAGTTATTGTAGAATGCAAAGCGGCATTAAAATACCGTCTTTTATGTTATCAAGTTGCAGTAGCTACTAGTTACTAACTTGGCGAGGCAGTGGGCAGCGGTGATGACCCACTCGTGATGGATGACCGCACCCCCGCAGGAGGAGACCTGGCCGTTAAAGCCGATAGAACGCAGGCTGATTTGATGAGGGATTTGTCCGTCTACTGCTTCCCAACCGTGCGAGATCCTTTGACCTGCTAAGTAGTAATCATATAAATAACCAAAATTCTATCATTAAAATAATAAAATACAATATAGTTAAAAATTTACCTGAACGCACATCTTCAATAAAGGCTCGTTGGTTTAAATGACGTAGAGGCTCGCACTAGAAAAAAAAAACATAAATGTAAAAAAAAAAGTCTGTGGAAAAACAATAAATATTGTTTCCACGTCATATCCTCGTGGACATTGTTACATCACGATGTTGTCCTTCACTGTAAGAACTCGGAAATCCAAAAACAAATTGTACGGCGAGAACTTAATCAGCACTTACTGATTCTAAGACGTTCCAGATTCCTTTAAGCAAATCCCTGAACCTCCAACTCCGTATCATAGTATCTTTAATAAAATTACCTGAGCGTAACCAAATATGAGGAGTAAAGCGAAGTAAACGGCCGCCATCTCGTCTGCCGGTCAACTAATTACAATTTTAACTAATTGAATTATATATTACAGGCAAAATACTTATCCGAACATTTTTTAATATCCGTTTGATATGAACTCTTTACCTGGTAATAAGTGTTTGTAACACGAAAAGATAAAATCTCATACTAACTGTTTCCCGTGACTTTGTTACACCCCTATTGACATTTACATTATTTTGAAATACCTTCCTAAATAGTTAATTTAATTATACTAAAAGTGTCTGTTTCCAAATTCTGTTGGAATAACATAGCTTAGTTTTCCACAGCCGAAGATCTAGCCTTAGTTTAGGACGCCATACAAGAATTGACCCCAAAGTTTTAGTTATGTCATATGTGTAATTTTGTCTGTGCTTAGGTTTATTAGTAAGACAAGCGGTTCAATCTTTTATATATATAAATCAAAGAAACATATGGTAAGTGTAATTAACGATAATAGATTAACAATTTCCTGTATTCGGCAATCGGATGCGATTTTAAATCAAAATTTGATAAAAACATATTATCTTTTACCAGGCAAACGCTTAGCGATTTTAGAAAAACATAAGAGCAGGCTCCTTTGACTAAACTATCGCACAAAAGTGTACGATGGTCGTTTGTTTGTTGTAAAAACCAAGTATAGTGTACCTCTATATATACTCGTAGGAATTAAAGCGAGACTAAACAATTGTTTGATAGTTTAGTTTCAGAAGTGCGCGCACTCTAAGTACTTTCTATGTTTCAAAATCATTTACCGAATTAAATATACTATCCAGTAAAAAGTTAGGTCTTACATAGCGATGAATAGTTAAATAAGCGTTTGTAGTTTGTTGTTTTAACTATATAGGGGGTTAGATTATTGGATTATAGTTGTTTTATATTATTATCATGTTTTGGAATAACTAGACACGTAATCAAATCAAATTTCCACGTCCATCTTTGTATTCTAATTTCTTGCGAATGGACTAATTACCCGACATCGTTATTTGAAATTTTTGCATGGTAAATACTAATAGGGCGACCGCCCAGGGGCCAGACATAAAGAGGTGACAAAAAGTGGCACCATGTAGGTTTTTTCATATGGGCTTGTATTGCAATTAAGGCGCGATGCAATTTCGCAAAGAGCGCCTGTCCTCTTTATGATCATTAGTTTCGTAACTTTTCATTATGCAATCTACAGTTACGCCAGTAAATTCTTACACTAGTTATAATAAAAAAAAATAAAGGTCTTATTTCTTTATTTAAACAACATGTATTTACATATCAACAAAGTTCACTCTGCTTTCTTCATCTTCTCCGCCATCTCCTTCACCACCATCTCCTTCTCCACCATCACCTTCACCACCGTCACCTTCTCCACCGTCGCCTTCTCCACCGTCACCTTCACCACCGTTCTCCTCCGAGGATTCAGAAGATTCAGACGATTCAGAGGATTCAGAGGATTCCGGTTCTATAGGCTTTAAGTCCTCATTTTTCCAGTCGAAAGAAATGCCGGTGACCTGCTCGAACCAGTCGTGGTAGTGTCCAGGGCGGACCAAACCTGAAAACATTGATATTATAAAATTGTTATTGATTTTATTCGAAATCGTTACTATTCAGGGTCGATGCGAGACATTTACCATTCAAGATATTTACAATTCAAGATGTTTACATTGTTATTCAAGGTTGCAGACGTTTGCGTCATTACAAAAAAGTATGCTTTTGCAGTAAAAAAAGTGCTTTTATATTTAGAGTATAAAGTTTTTCGTTTTTTAACAGATTTCAAAAAGGAGTAAAAAGTGTTAAGACGTAATGTATATTAGATGGATACAAAGGTAGAAGAAGACCGAAGAAAATATGGATGGATTGTGTGATGAGGATATGCTTAAGAAAGTGGATTGATAGAAAAATATGGAAGAGCAGCACTGTGCCAACCCTTCATAGGGACAAGGGCAAGTTGGTGTAGGACAAAAAAAAACTCAATTTGTCTGTATGTTTTTTGTTGATATAAGTATTTGAGGTGCGTGTTTTGTTTTTAAATGATGTATTACCAGAGGGGTGAGGGCTGTTGCAGCCGATTACGTGCCCGAAGCTCACCACGCCCACCATTGTAGGTTTGCCGTCGACGTCCAACTCGGTCAAAGGACCACCACTGTCGCCCTAAGATAGCAAATGATACGTTACAAAACTTTGTCGACATAAAAGTTTAAAGTTAGTAAATATTATTTTTTTTATTTATCGAGTACATTGCCACTTTAGTCCTTAATAGTGAAGCTTTAATTTCACTCTGCACATTTATTCTTATGTATAGTATGTATGTGAAGTAAAATTAAACCTTGTTCCAATCACATAGAGCTCAATTTAATTTGCCATAATTTGCCTACGATTTGATCTGGACGGACTTTAAGGCGAATCGATTGTCCAGTTTGTAAAGGATTTGCATACATACCTGGCAGGAAGACTGTCCGGTCCGGTTGTATGCTGCAGCGCAGATGGTTTGCTCCCTGATGACGCGGCTGTTGGGGTACCACCGCAGGCACTCCTCGTTACTGACTCCCAGTTGGTACACCCACAGAAGGATCTCTGACGCCGCACCACCTGCATCAACACAAGTCTTTACCAATCATCGGGAAAAATTATAGCAAGTCTGTTGTAAATGTAAACCCGATAGATGGCGCTGATTTCAAAAAACTTTTTAGCTTACCGTTCCACAAATCATCTGTACGTCCGTAGCCGCTGACGGTAAGCCTGACGCCCGTGTAGTCGAAGTTCTTCATCTCGCTGTTCTGCAGACGGCATGGCTGGATGTTTGCTGGAAAAAATTATCCATTGGTTGTTAAATTCAATCCTAAACAAGTATAGATGAGTCGTCAGGGTAAAAGAAGAATTCTTTTTAAAACTTTGAGTAATGCATATGGACTGTGTTAATAACTCAAGTACTTTGAATAAAGAAGACTCAATCTCCAATTTTTGTTTTCTTTGGATCCAAAAATGATTACATACAAATATTATTGGGCTATTATTTAATATAAGTGGGCCAGTATTAAACCAAATATTTTAAGATATCTAAATGATAAACGTGTGTAAACAAAATATGAATTGTCCATTACAGAAGTCTACTAGTCTAGTCTACCTAGTCTACTTACGTCCATAAGGAATGGGCCTCTCAAGTCCGAGCAGCGCGATATCGTCTGTCTGCACTCCAGCTAGGACCTCGACGTATTGAGGGTGGATGAACTTGCGGGATGTCTCCACGATGTACTCTGGCCGGGTCAGGTTGGTCAGGCCGAGGCGGACCACGAACAAAAGGCGGCTGTATACAAAGACAAATACCTTGAAGAATTTTTTAGAAGAATTTTGAATTTACTAAATGTTGGATAAAGTATAGAGGTACTTTTGTGATATCATTTAAAATATATTCATGTAAATTAAAGGTAGAACGCATTGGCCATCTGACTTGTAGATGTGTGTGGGCAGAGGTCAGTTCGACCTTCAAGACATTGCAAATGGCCGCTCGCTTGTTTGCCATCTTGTACTAAAAAATAGTATGGATTAAAATAAGTCTGACGTAAGAAGGATTCTTTACTCATCTCTTGGTATATTATTGTATGTCTGTTACTAACTTGGCAAGACAATGGGCGGCAGTGATGACCCATTCGTGGTGAATGAGGGAACCCCCGCAGGAGGAGACCTGGCCATCTATACGTATCATACGCAAGCTAATCTGGTGGGGGATTTGACCATCCGCTGCCTCCCATCCGTATACGATCCTTTGACCTGATACAATAGAAAAAAGTTTATGGGATTTTTAATTTAGTTAGTTAATGATATATATGTAAGCTAATTTTAAATTAGAAAAAAATTGTTTAAAGTTTTCTGATATAATATTTTAAAGTAAAAATGCTCTCCAATATGTTTAAAACCAGTCTGCGTCACCGATTTTTGATTTAGTTTATCAATAGTTGCAGTTACCTGCGCGCAAATCTTCTATTTCAGCATGCGGGTCCTGGCGACCAATGGGCTCGCACTGGAAAAGTAGTAAGTAACATTGTGAGGTTACGGTTTGGTTCCAGAAGTAACAAAACAGGATACACTTCTTATTCAAACATATTATCTTGGTTTAACATTAATTAAAGTTATATAACTTTAGATAAACTTATTGTTACGTAACTTTTATTTAGATTTTGACAGCAAATTGAATCGTTATTTGCATATTTATTAATCTAAAGTTAGGTTACCTGAGCGACACCCAAAATTAGGAGGAAAGCGAAGAAATACGCGCCCGCCATCTTCACCGTTAAAAAACTAATTAAAATAATAATATAATTAAACTGAAATAGAATATTTATCTGTAAATTTTCCAACTTCCCTTGATATGGTGAATTTACAAGATAATTAATGATTGATAGTGAATTTATCATAAATCTAAACGTAAGAGATTAATGATTAGAATAAGGGATTAAATGTTAAAAAACCTAATTAGGTTTTATTGTAAAGGTGACAACACATTAAGCATGTTTGAGTTTTAATAGAGAATTTAAAAAAGTAGCTTATTTATTATATTTCTGCTTGCAATGTCATAGAAATCGATTCAGCCATTCCAAGAAAGTACCCGGAACAACGGTGTTGCGTTTACAATAAATTTTTAAAATTGGAATTTCGTTTTTAGTAAAGCATGTACATCAAGTGTTCGAAATATGTCTTGTTTCTTTTAAATATTGCTAATATTATAGTTAATTTTATAGTTTATGGGTCTAAAATATAGATTGGATATTTATGGTAGAGTTTGTAGACAAAACTGCTAAACGGATCTCGATGAAATTAGTTTGGAAGAACACAGTCTACTAACTTATGGTTTTTTTTTTAAATCCACGCAGACGGAGTCACGGGCGAAAGTTGTTGTTGCATACTTGAATTTTATTGTAACTTTGTATAGTTAGTACATTTTATCTCACAATTTTCATGTTGTTTCTTTTTTTAGGTTTTCAATCGATGTTATGTTAGGTGTGTGCTTACCTTTATATAGGTTTTAGTTTCGTTTTCAACTTATATTTATATAAAAAGGACGTTGTTTGGTTGATAAAATAAAAAATCGTTTTTTAAAATATATATCGTATACTAAGTACATTTTTACATTGGTTAAGATACAAAATATCACATCGTTTTTTTGAACTAAGTCTTATTTTTACATTTACTTTAAGTATATGACACTAAATATTGTACATAATTACTTAATGAGGATAACAAAGTTAAATTAAGCACCATATTTTAAGTAACAAATTGTTTAAAATATCACTTGTAAATTTAACAAATACAAATAATAAGTGAAAAAGTCCGTTACACGTCTGCAGTTTTAACTATACGTAGGCAAATAACATAAACTGTGCAGTTAAAACTGATTGTGTAACAGATTTAACTCATAGTGGACATTTCTAGAAATTATAAAATGCAAGCCTTTTAAAACCAAAAGTTAAAAAGTCTATTGTCTAAGTATGAAAATATTCGAGAAAGATATAAAAATATACATGAAGTAATATAATATGCTTTTAGGAAAGTCTAAAATTATTTGTATTCTGATGCGTTTTATTCCATTTATATTAAAATACAAATACTTCTAACAAAAATAGTAGCTTACGTCTTTACTATAAAAATAACCTATCGATAAACGAATAACAATTAAAAATAAAACAGTTATTTACAATTCTATTTTTAAATAACTCTAAACAGTTAATAGCAATAACGTGTAACGTTATAACGGTTGAAAATAGCAGTTTAGCTATTAACAGTTGAATAACGGCTATTTTAATATTTGACAATCATGATACAATTGTTAACGCGGGTTCGTCTTTTCTGGAAGTTAATATTTTGTAATAAACGACCGCGTCGTGTACTGTAGGGAAAGTATCTAACTGTAATTGTTCACTTTCCAAAGAATTGTATCTATTTATCATTTCTAATACTGGGCCTGAAAAAAAAAAACATATTTTAAACATTAATCGAATAAGGTTAGGATTATATTTGATATTAATAATTGTTTAAAAAAACTATTGCCGAAATGAAAAAGATGTTATTTCAATGTTTTCAATTATTTAAAGATTGTCTTTTTCCTGCTTTTATTAAAAATACATGACAAAAATCAATCTTTATCGGTTTAAAAAAAGATACTTATATAATATTTAATTACATGTAAAACATAATTTGCCGGGTATTTATTGATAAAGTGATAAAAAGATATGTGGTACAGCTCTGATAAGATATAACGACGTTATTCTATTATTAAATAGGGTAAAAATTGCAAAAATTATCTATACATGAAAAATAACCCTTTATTTTGCTTTAAACTTTGAGATTATAATAGACGCTACCAACAACAACGTGTAACACGATTTATATGATGCCCCCCATTTTTGACCCCCCACTTAATGGGGGGACTATTCATACACCTGTGATACCCCTTTCTGTCAAGCGGCGGGCGTTCGCCCTTCCGCTGTGAGGTAAAGGTAAAGAAGTTCAAGTGACGTTGGTTGCTTACCATTAGCTCCAGCGAGCAGTACGGTGATGGCGCTGGCGGCCAGCTCGCGCTGCGCCGCCACCAGGCTGCGGATGCCGGGCGCGTCCACGTACGACAGCGCCGTCGCGTCTATTATCACGCATTGTACCTGTATAATGTTTTGTTATAATAAAGAAAAATTACATCTCTTTCTGGATAGTACCAAGTCATGTTTAGTAATGTTTAGTTATGGGAAATCAACAACAATATACCAACAATAATACACTCCTTTAAAGTTTTAATAAATGAATCTGAGTACGGCAATTTACGCTAAGCACCCTCAGCACTGTTAACATTACTTTTTAAAGACAAATAGTACAATACTTAGTAAAAAAAAACATTTTTATTTGTCAGTAAAACAAATTGAGGATTTAAAAATAAAATTGCGTTTACCAACATCATTGAGATTTATACTCTATGTCATAAAGTACAAATAACTTACTCTATGTCCAATAGTGGGGTCCCACTCGAAGGACTCGCTCTTGGTGAGGTTGTCCTCCTCCTGCGCGGTGTCAGCGGGCTTCAGGTAGCCGATCTTGCGGAACAGCGTCGATCGGAACAGGTTCTTGCTCGCGAAATTCAGTCCACCGCAGTAGTGGAAAATCTTGATACCGGGAATCTCTTCCGCCTTGAACGAACGGTTACGTAAATTTAAACAGTGAATAAGTTAAATATGGAATATAAACAACAAAAACGTTATTTACTTTTAACGATATAATTGCATACTCTTTGACCATTACATAACACAATCTTTGACATTCATAATCTGTGACAGAATTGTAGACAGATGATAGTTGTAAATTCAAATTTGTAAAAAATAAACATGCAATAATTTCAAACAATAAAAATTAATATGCTTTTAATTTTTTGCAAACAATAAATGCAGTCACAGACATAATGCGTCTATTCGCTGACAAACGACTTCCCTATCACATGAATTACGAGGTCGGTATATTCGATGTGGCAAGATGGTGGATATTTATTGTGATTAACATATTAATTATGTTCTGTTTTAACTATTTCATAGTTACAATCTATCAAGATCGGGAAATGGAAGTATTGAGCAATGGCATGTTGCTATCAGAGTACAATGAATAAATAATTAAATTAAAACAGTCATTTGATTAATTCGTAAACTAAGTCCGAGAGTTGAGGATGACGTCATTAAAGTGTGTTTCTATTGAGCTATAAGAATGAAAGTAATTCGCTTTTCACTAAATATAGGTAAATAGTGTCGTATCTTTATGTGTTTGTATGTGGTTGTGTTGTGTGCTAGAAATACTCACAGCTCGGTACCGCTTAGTGTCGAGGTAGAGGTCAGTGTCCAGGACGCGGCCGAGCAGGCAGGTGTAGGGCTTCTGGGACCTGCAGAACAGCGTGCCCACGCTCGCCAACAGACCCGCCGCCAGACTGACACACAAATATCATCATTAATTAAAATAAATAAACACGAATGTACTGCAATTTGAAAATTTGTACGAAACGACGCCTTACATATCAAAAGAAAGAAAGAATAATAAAAGCTAAAAACGTTACTTTCCTGTCTTGAAGAATTTGGAAAAACAACTGTAGTAGTGTAATTAATTAGTTTTGCTTAGTAATATTGTTATATAGTTAAAAATAGGCTTCAAATGTATCTGTTATATTTTTTCCCTGTCATTATCATAGGTAAGACGGAGATAGCATTATACTCACCCAATATCAATATTAATGAGAACCGTGGTGAGGAATGTGACGAGCCACACGATCGCGTCCAGTTTACTCAGAAGCCAGAACCTGACCGCAGAAGATGTCAGTAGATAGTTGCACATAACAATAAAAACATCTTTGACTAATTTATCGCACGGCTGTTGTGCGATGGTCGATTATTCCGCTAAACATCGAGTAGTGTACCTCCATATAGGAATCAAAGAAAGACTAAACAGTTGTGCGAGAGTTTGAACAAAGATATCCGCGAGCTCTTGATATATTAAACATGGGTGTCGCCGATCTAGACTAGGTCTAGGCGACAACTATATTCGCGGTTTACATTTTGCTTATAAAAAACTGTACTAAAGATCAATTGGCACAGAGTTCTATCCAACAGTGTTGGTCAACCCTCATAACAAAAATTCAAGTAAAAAATAATCAAGAAACAACAATAATTCCAATTCCGCTAGTAATATATCTGATTCAAAGTGATAAGGTCAGTAAATATTGTATTTCGTGTACTAACTTGCGTAACTCCTTGACCTGCATGAACATGCCCTTGAGCGAGACGACAATGATGGAGGCGAGCACGCAGCGCGGCAGCCGCTCGAAGAACGGCCCCACCCACAGCAGCACGCACACGATCAGACTCGCGCTCACCACTGTCGTCACGCCCGTCTTGCTGCCCGCCTGGCACATTTCAAATTAGCCTCGTAACGGATTTTAACGGAAGCGGATGCGGATGCGGAGGCGAAGAGCTTCACCTCTGCAGAAGCAAAGGTTAACGGAAGCGGAAGCGGAGATCAATGATAAAATATTAATTGCGATTTATTAAAGAAATAATCATCATCATCATCTCCCCTGCCTTATCCTACTCCCGTAGGATCGGCGCACCGGGTTTTCGTCCTCCAAAGCATTCTATCATCCGTCATCTCAGTCATCACTCCCTTCTTGATCATGTCACCTTTCACGCAACCCATCCATCTCTTTCTAGGTCTACCTCTACCGATATACCCCTCCACATTCATAACTGACGTCCTTCTTGTTACATGCGATTCATCCCTTCTCATAACATGCCCATACCACTCTAACCTTTTACTCCTTATTTTCTCAACCACTGGGGCTACTCTCAAACTTCCTATTAAAGAAATAAAAACTAAAATTACGTTAATTCAAAATACAGATTTGTACATATTTACAAGGTACAGTATATTATGCAAATATAATGTATAACAATTATAGTTAGTTATCCTAGCACGCTCGCGGTGGCCGCATAAACGATACTTAATCGCCCCACTCGCGGTAAAGACGTTAATTAACCTCCGTTATAACTCCTCATAAGAAACAACGGAAGCGGATGCGGAGTTAATATTTCTTGCGGAAGTACCGCACTTGCGGATGCGGAAGCGGATTTCCGTTACAACCCTATTTCGAATCATACCTAATTTACCTAATTATAGTCTCTTTCCCACCATGTCTTATACGGAACGGATGGGAAGGGAAAGTGGATTTGACGGTAAAAGATAGGAAAGGAAAAAGTCCTATTTATGTGCACCAATCATGATTTTTTTAACAGCGCCTAATCAAATTTTAGTCACACTAGCTTTCGCCCGCGACTCCGTCCGCGTGGAATTAACAAATACAAAATTGAGTAGTATGATAGAGTTATGTGGAGGACAAAAACCTGTTGCGCCGACCCTACGGGAGTAGGATAAGGAGATGATGATGATGATGATGATGATGTGTTCTTCCAGACTTTCCTCTATGTTTATACCAAATTTCATCAAGATCCGTTCTGCAGTTTAGGCTACAAACTCTAACAAACATCCATCCATCTAAACTTTGCATTTATAATATTAGTAAGAAGTAAGATTACTCTTGTTTTACTTTTTATAATGATGTTAAAATCCTTTACAATAGCGAATTATTTCCTGAAAAAGTGACATTGGTCTAATCTAGAAATAGTATAAAATTATGGATAAATAGTATAAAAAAATAAAATGCATTATTATTACCTGATACTGTATATAGGAACGTGATAAACTAGCACAGATCGGAGCACACCCGAAGAAGGATCCGAATACGTTACTTGCACCCTATAAAAAATCACATTAAAAATTGTTAATGTATAAATCTTTTCGATTTTTTATATAATATAAGGTGGCAAACGAGCAAGCGGCCACCTGAATCCACCGAAATCGAGAGCGATCGCTGCCCATAAACATCCGCAATTGCAGATGCTTTGCCTACTCTTAATCGACGGAGGAGACGCACATAAAGAAGACATCCCCTTCCCTTCCTATGCGTCTCCTCCACCGTCAAATTCACTTTTCCTTCCCATCCTTTCCTCTTAAGAAAAGGGTGAAAAGGGAAAGGGACTAAAATTCGGCCTCCGGCACCACACTCATTGCGAAACGCGGAATTGCTTCCATTTGACGGCTGTCTTCTGTGTGGTCGTGGTATTACTGGGGGGAGCCGGCCCTGCACTGCTAACATGTTAATGCGGGCTCTACCACTGTTAAAAGTTGAGATTATATTGCTAAATCACAAAAAAAAAAATTTTTTTTTCATTAGCGTATTTTTTTTAAATGGAAAAAAACTATAAAAAAATTAGAATAGCCATTCGTATACATACCAATGCTAGAAGTTCTTGGTTCGCGTCGATTTCATATTTCTCTTTGGAAGCAAATATTAACGCCATAGACATGGATATGGTGTAAGTGACCATAGTGATGGTGAAGGCGTCCAGCGCTACAGACGGGAATAACTCGATAGGAGGCACTTCGGGTACTGGCAGACTGCGGATACCGATTGTATACAATTATTATAGTCTGTGTACCCTAAATTTGGGAAGTAACGTTTTTAAAGCCTTACTAATAACTATAATATAATAATGGAATGCTGTCTATTGTATTTTTTTTTTAATCCATTTCAAAAAGGAAATTCTCAATAAGTAAATTTTTGTTTACTTTAATACAAAAATTTAATTTAATTTCAACAGATTTGCAATTTCATCCCTATTTCATACGGTTTAATATATTTTATCTTACTAACAATATTTCCGAAGATCCTTACAAAAAAATTATTGGTCCAGGTGATTTTTTATACAACGTATGTACCTTTCACTTAAACTTAAATTCAAACTTACCCAGTAGGTATATGTCCGACGAGAGTGATACCGAACTGTTCATTGAGACTGGCGAGGCTGGAGACCAGTGTTCCAGCTACGATAGCCAGTAGCTCCACTGGCACTGGCACGCGACTCACCTTGCTCACTATCGGCTGCAAGTGGATTTTTATTTTTTATTGATACTAGCTGTTGCCTGCGACTTCGTCCGCATGATATTAGAAAACACAAACTATGTAAATAACAAAAAACTACATGTCCTTCGGAAACCGGACTTTTCTCGGGGATGAACCTTATCCTATGTGTACTCCAGACTTTGTGTTATTTGTGCCAAATTTCAATAAGATATGTTGAACCGTTGCAGAATGATCGAATAAACATTAAAAAACTGAATTAATAAATCCCACGGGAACCTTATCTCGGTATAAAAAGTAGCCTATGTGTTCTTCCAGACTATATGCTCTGAACCTGTGCCAAATTTCATGACAATCCGTTCAGCCGTTTAGGCTACAAACTCTAACAAACATCCATCCATCTAAACTTTCGCATTGATAAAATTAGTATGATTAAATTAGTTAAACAGCTTTTATCTAGTCGTAATTCATGTTAGCTGTCGCCCCAAGTCCGCGTGGAACTAAAAAGTATCCTATGTGTTCTTTCAAACTATGCTCTAACCCTGTGACAAATTTCATGAAAACCCAGCTGTTTAAGCTACAAACTCTAACAAACATCCATCCATCTAAACTTTCGCATTTAAGAAATTAGTAAGATATAGATTAAGGCGTGCTGTAGCCGAAATCACTGAATTAGTTCAAAATTAGTCATACAAAGTCAAAAGATTTTAAATTCATATTACAAAATTGTCACAAGGTGATGAAACGATAACATAAAAGTTTGTTACCTTCAAGATTTCATTATTGAGAGCGATGATGAGGCAGGTGATCGCGGAGATAATCACCGCCGCCCAGTTCAGGTTCGGTAAATTCTTCACCACTTCTATCACTGTCTGTGCACATTGATATTAAGAAACAATATATTATGATATGTACAGTCACGTTCACACGCAGTATGCCAGTTACAGAAAAGTACGCTACATCTTAGAAGGACTAAAGCTCAAATACAAAAACAATCATATTATAATAAATTATAGATCATAATCTAAAAATTATACAGATATTCTAAACTAGCTGTTACTCGCAACTTCGCCCGCGTGAACTTAAAAATAATAAAAAAAGTAGCCTATGTCACTTGCACATAAATTACCTTTTTAACGGTGAAAGAATTTTTTAAATCGGCTCAGTAGGTTTTGAATTATTTCAATACATACAAAAATACAAATCTTTCCTTTTTATAATATCAGTATAGATAAAAACTATGTATACATCAAGCAAATTACTGTAGCCAAAAAAAATCGCCGACAATATAGAGGTTTCTACTCTCCGTAAATCGTATAAATAGACGAAATAAGGGCTAGCGATATTAAGCTTCCTACACACGTTAGATTTATTTGAACATGTCACAGTTCAGATAAAACTGCATGTGTGTAGCGAGGTTTACGCTATAAGGAAACACCATTATAAAAAAGATTACAATTTTATCTCTATTTTGCTTTAATTTCACTGGTGGAAATTGCGTCTACTTACCAAAACAACTTTGTAGTCCGGTCCTGTTTTTCTAATCTTAACACCGAAGAGATCTTTGAGCTGAGACGCGAGCACTTGGAAGGAAGCAGCCGTCGTGAACCCTGACACCAGGGGCTCCGATAGCAACGTGGAAACAGCCCCGAGACGTAACATCCACATTATCACCTGGAACAAGAGAAAATAACCTTGATAGAAGATTCCAAAGATAAACCCAGAAAAGAGCCCTAGTAGAAAAAGTGACTTTCAATTAGAGATATATAGAAAAAATGTGTCAAAATGCATAGAAATAAATACGTGACAAGTAAGATTTTTCGATCAGTGACAGCGATTATCGAATATTACTTTGGCTAAGAGGACACGATTTAAGATGAATATAGCACTAATATACAAACCTGAAAGAATCCTACAGATAGACAGACTATGCTTAAAACTTGTAGCGGTGTGTACTGAGGCGCAGCTATAATGCCTCCTGTAAACGAATAAAAAAACCAACATATGATAAGTGAAAACATACTTTTTTAACATATTTTAACTATCTCTCTCTCTTTTTTTTATAACATAAAGTAGCAAACAAGCAAGCGGCCACCTGAATCCACCGAATTGGGAAGCGACCGCTGTCCATAAACATACGCAATTGCAGATGCGTTGCCTACCCTTAGTTGACGGAGGAGGAGACGCACATAAAGAGGACATTTCCTATGCGTCTCCCCCGTCGTCTAATCCACTTTTCCTTCCCATCCTCTCCTCTTAAGAAAATGGTGGAAAGGGAAAGAGATTAAAATTAGACTTCCATTCTCTTCATTTATCATTTCAACATATCTTCAAAAATGACTAAAAATGTAACAGTTACACTAACCTGCTGTTACATTGGTTGTCGCATTCATCAAATTAGCGTAATCAGGATGAGTCGAATATTGAGTAACCACCTGGAATGTGGAATCATAATCTATATTCAAACTGTATCCATAACAAATAGTGCAAAGAAATTATATTGAAAATCTCAACATAAAAAACTTAATTCCGCATTACCTTTCCCGCCATCAGACAGGCGACAGCAAAAGTCCCCATGGAGACATGCGGTGAGGTGCCGAAGATGACGTAGATCAGGACTGGGAAGAACGCCATATACAGACCAACTATCGGAGGCACCTCAGCCAGCAGCGCGTATGCCATACCTTCAACATGTACATTTGCTATCTGATACATACGAGGAAAAAGTTATATCTCTTAAGAGTAAAGAGTTAAAGACTAGTTATTAATAAGATTTCGAAATTCAAGAATGATAAAAGACAAGGCAATATTAATAACTCGTGACGTACCTTGTGGTATATGCATAACAGCAGTGGTAGCGCCAGCGACCAGGTCGCCGACCAGATCGCGGCCGGCACTGTACCGCGGCAGCCATCGCGCTATCGGCACCGAGTTCAGCAAACACTCGCCGAAGCCACAGTTCTGAACCGCCTTCTTGCATCGATAGCTCACTGTAAAAGAATATAGGAAACTAAGAAACTTGGCCTTCTGTTAACTTAGCAGGAGGTCTACTACTATTAGGGCCTGTCCCACCAAATTGTTAATTGTCTGATAACAATTCAATGTTTAAAATATGCGATGGAAATATCGAATTTTGTAACGTTATTTTTAAGCTATCTGAGTCTCCATCAGCGAGTGGTGGGGCAGGCCATTAATTTAATACTAATCTTAATAGTAATTTCATAGGTCCATACGTGGTTTGTCAGGCACTTGGTAATCGGCGTCCTTATTCAGCACATCTTGCTGATATACCCGTCGGACTACATTGAACTGTTGGCTGGGTCGGGACGACAGCCTGAAACAATAAGACAATAAATAAATAAAATGCAAGTAAAATCAGAATCAGTATCTCTTACTGTTCTTGATGTAGTACATATTAACTGGTCATAAAATAAAAATACTTTTAGAATTGCGTTTGACTTACAGTTATTTATGACTAGCTTTCGCTCGCAACTCCGTTTGCGAGGAATTAAAAAACACAAAATTGAATAGCCTATGTGTTCTTCCATACTATCCTCTACATCCATAGTCCATACCAAATTTTACCGAAATCCGTTCAGTTGTTAAGGCTACAAACTCTAACAAACATCCATCTATCTAAACTTTAACATTCATAATATTAGTATGAAGTATGAAATATGATTAGGAGCAATATAACTAGACCTTGAAGTATACCGTTTACTACAAAATGCTTTACAGTGAAAGCCTTTCATAATAATAGTCATCAATACAAATAATATGTGATTTATTTAATAAGATATGTTTATTATTTACTGCACGTGATGAAGTGTCATCCTTTCTTGTCGTAAACAATAGAATAGGGTCAGTAGTGTTTGTTTTAATATCAAAGGAGAAAATTTTCCAGTATTGATATCAATAATTACTAATAAAACAAATATAATAACGGTTTAATGAGGATTTTATTAAATAAAACTTGATATAAAAAAAAATCAACAAAATATCAGAGCATAGTTTACTCTAATATTATTTTAATTATTTGTAATAAATGGGGCATTTTCCAGTTCATTACAATGCTTAAAACAATTTTTCTGTAACCTGAACACCGCGTATGAAGGCGACTGTACACTTATAACCCTCAAAAATATACCTTGTAATACACAATGCATTAGCTTGCCTGAATCTACATACATCCATTTATTACCGTTGTACCATAGAAGTAATTTTTTGGAACCAACACCCGAATAACGGATAATTCGGATAAAACTAGAAGTGTCAACCCTAAACGAAGCATAACATGGACTTGCCAATCATCGTCGGTGTCCCCACGGTCCAGCAATGGTTCATACTCAGGGCCATTGTCTCTGAAGTCTCGGTCGAAGAAAAGTAGCGTCTTTCTCATACGCATTGTTAAATAAATTTTTGTATCGTTTAACAATAATTATAAACTATTATAGAACCATTTTTATAAAGGTATATCCTTCTTTGATAACCTAAAAATTACTCTGTCGATTCAAGTTTTTTTATGAAGTTATGAGACGATTCTTGCAAATTCGGTCTACATTATCAAAACACTGATATAATAAAATATTGCTTTCTCTGTCATTTCTTAGAAAAAACAGAGAGACTGGTAAACTGTGTTCGTGGGTTTTTAGTCATTGAAACCAGTTAATTACATACGCAACAATCAGGGAATGTTTTATTGTTATTTGGAAATCTTGTATATAGAAGTAAATACCGTATTTGTGACGCTATGCTTAATTTAGACCACAGTGATATCGCCTCATATAACTACGCAGGAAATATATTATTAATAACAAACATTATTACTAAAGCAACTATATTACAGGACTAGCTTTCGCTTGCGACTCCGCTCGCGTAAAAAAAATAAAACCTAGCCTATGTCTACACACTAAAACTGTAGCTTTTTAATAGTGAAAGAATTTTTGAAATAGGACGAGTAGTTTTTGAGTTATTTCATTACAATCAAACAAACACAATTTTCCTCTTTACAAGTATGATAAGTCGTTGAAGGACTTTAATTGGATGTACACAAATTCGTATTGTGACAGAAGTTCGGGTTAATTTAATGGTCGGTTTCCAACTGTCGAAAAATATGTACAATTTTTTTTCTTTTTTTTTGAAAAGGGATGTAAAATGTTTTTGTTTAAAAGTAATGTTTTTTTTTTGGTAGTATTTTTATGAGATTTCTTTGTAACTAAATTAAAGTGACTATTAGAATTAATTTTAATAATTGTTGTGCTATTGATACGAATACAATACTGAGTTGAAATCAAGTATAATTGCTCTAAACATTACTGTAATAGTGTCGACACAAGGTTAAATTCACTTTTATATTAGTTGAAGTTTGATGCAATTTTATTGTCGCAGAACAATGTTTAGTCTCAGATTCAATTATTTAGTAAATATTATTTTAAGTCACAATATAAAACTATTATTAAAAAAAATCTAAAGTACCAAATAAACGTCAATTTGAACCCTAAAACATGAAGGCTATTTATAATAATTGAATTTTAAGAAGGAAGTATTTTCTGTCCTTGTTTCCGAAATAGTCTATTGATTTGTATAAAAAAAATATCATTGCTGTTTTTAAGAGAGTAAGAAGAACAATATTCCATTTATTTCAAAATAGTTCAATTTGAAAAAATAATTTATTTTTAGAATACTGGACATAAAATAAAAAAGAAATAAAAACACATTTAAAAAAAAATTGAATCGTCAGAGTTGAACCGTGGCTGTATACCAAAACGCCTTTGCCTTTTCACAAAATTCGAACTAATTAAAAAAAACAACTGTCACATTAATCACAAGACGCGGGAAATGCAATTTAATTGACAACGCGACGTGTATTTTAAAGAACGATTTGTTCGGAACTGTAGTTTGTTGTTAAAATTCAACGAGACGTTTGATAACGCAAACCGACGCGCATGGGTGCACAACTATTGGCAAATTATTAAAAAAAAGAATATTTTACACTGGCCGCAAATATCTTGCGATTGCAATGGGATTTCGACTGAAATGACTGTATTGACAAAATGCATAAATACATGAGGGGTTATATGTGCAATCGTTAAACAAAAGAGTACAGAACAATACATTCTTGTGTGATATGCTTTTTGTTTACAGAAACAAATACTATTGAAGACACAATATTAAACAATACTGTGGGTGCCTTCAAGAGCAGGGTGAATCGGCACTTATTGAGCTAGCGCGCTCTATCCTTCGGCCGCGTCTTCACTTAGGTTAGGTGGAGTCGTGATCAAGCGCTGGTTTATTTATGTTAAAAAAAAAACTCTTTTCTTTCTCAAAGAAAGGTAACTAACATTCGTAACCATAAACAATTTTCTAATACCAATTTTAAAGCTTTGGTTTCGTTTGTTACGTCTTGATTTTAAGAATGATTGCATTTGAAATAATTTGATTTATTGATTAAAGAGTAGATTAGATAAAAGTACCAAAGAATAGTTGTAAATAAAATATTATTTAATTAGCAAAGGTTTGGCACCCCTGGCCAGTTATCGATACATTGTACGCAGTCATGTGATGAATTTAATTCGTATTATGAGTTAATTAAAGGGTTACCGTTTAAAGGCGTGGAAAGGGAAAGGGCCTAATTTTAGTCCCTTTCCCTTTCCACGCTTTTCTTAAGAGGGAAGGATGGGAAGGAAAACTAGATTTGACGGTGGAGGAGAGGCATAGAAAGGGGAAATGTCCTCTTTATGTACGTCACCTCCTCCGTCAACTAAGGGTAGGCAACGCATCTACAATTGCGGATGTTTATGGGCAGCTGTCGCTTTCCATTTCGGTGGATTCAGGTGACCGCTTGCACGTTTGCCACCTTATCTTATAAAAAGAAATAATCTTAAGTCTGCATTATTAAGATAATCTCGTCTATAACTTTTCTTTTACTAAGCAATTCGCCTACTTTATGATATTTTAACAATGTTACCAACAAAGTAAATTCACGATTTCTTTAAAAAATAGAGATTTTAAGTGTACACATGCTTTAACTGAATGCCACTGTTAAAACAAGCAAGATGTCGCTAAAAATGCAGTTCGCACAGTGCAAAAGAACCTTACAGAACGTAAGTGAAATAGAATAGGTCTGCGTATCTGATGAGGGAAGGACTGTGCCAGAGGCTTATTTGTCTTCACATACCCATCCTAGCTTATTTAAAGATACATAAAAATATTGAGTTAGTTACAGTTTTATAATATTTTGTTATTACTATTATTATTTACAGCTTAGCTGTAAGCAAGGGCGGATCCAGCTTTGGGGGGACATAGTCGTAGTCAAGTCAAGAAATTGACTAAATATGTAAATAAACTCTTGACCAACCAGCTCAGGGTGGGTGATGACTCCCATGACCCCACCCTGGATCCGTCGTTGGTTTTAAGCCTGTTCCACAGATAATACTATACTATACTAGAAGCCTGTACTAATATGTAAATATGTATCATTGGATATATTAAGTTTGAAGTAATTCCGGATTGTATACTACCGATTGATAAGGGTAGCCGGGTCAGTGACCTCTTGTCAAACTCTCACAATACATTACAACTTTGTGTTACTAATCGTTAAACAAATGATAATTATTATATTAAAAATATCGGTTGTATTGTATAATTAACACTAATAAATTTTATTTAACTTGTACATTATTAATTATAAATAACGCCATCTGTTGGCATAACTTCACATCATTTAAAACAAATCAAATAATTGATTGTCGTCAAACTGCAAATTCTGTCACTAGATGTCGGTAATTGTCCGTAATCAAAGGAAAACAACTGCGGTGTCTATTATATCAATCAATAATTTATTACTGAAAATAATAGCGTCTCGTATCACCAGACCATAGACCAGAGGCGTCGTGGAGTATCGAGGTATAAATATCTTTTATAGTTTATGAGATGGGGTATGAAAGACAGTCTGTTTTACTTGAAAGCTAGGAATTTACTGGCTTATGTTATCTTTATTACTCACCATCCATTAGGATTAAGTCTCTCCTTCTCCCACTCTTTGGCTTCGTTCTTCATTGTCACTTCACTTCACTTTACTCATATCAATATATTGCAAATAATTTTTACTTATATCTTAAGTTAAAGATAATGCAAACTGTTACCATGATTCTGCATAAAGTAAGATAAATCAATTTTACTATTAGAATTTTGGTATCGACTCAAGAGATGTATGGAAAGAATTCTTTTCTTAATGTAGACGGTAGCTTTCGCCCGTGACTCCGTTGTGGAATTGAAAGAAACAATAACTACTAGGCCGATTTTAAAAAATTTTTCACCGTTAAAAAGCTACGT